GACAAATCATATGTAAAAATACTTTATTAAAAATCTGATTTTTTTTGTACAACAGACTTGTGATGTTTACAACTTGACAAATTTCATGAGGATACACTTAGTAAATTCAAAGTCAAAGTATTTATAGTTTCATGATGGTTACAAAGTTGGTCAAAATTATTAAGCCCATATAAGGAGAGTTAATGAACTGGCAATCAACATAAGACTAAATGTCATAAAAACTCATCTTTAGCCACTTTCCAGGTACACAGCATAAAATATTCAACCTTTGACTTTCGAACAATTTGTAAATATCTACAAATAACAGTCTTTATAGTCCCTGAAATGATTAATTTGAAGCATGTACTTGACATTGGGCTGAATAAGCTCTTGTGTTAAAACTTTTAAAAAACATGTACTATATATATATAGTGTATTCAGGTCAACTGGTTTCACAATGGTAAGTTATAAGTAACTTCCAATCAGCAGTACATTTATGAAATGTTTGCAAATAATAAATAAAACACCTATATAACACAGTAAACGTAAAGGACAAGTAAAACAAAATATTCACAGAATCATGCTAATATCTGCCTCATAAAACTCAATTGGCCGACTGCTGAAACAAAGAGAATTGCATTATTTTAAACAATACAAAGGCAGAAGTCACAATGATCATGATCTGTAATGCAATGTCAAAGTCAAAATGAAAGCTTCTCATGTGATACTCTACATCCATAGGTTACTTTAGTCAACAATCATTCCTATTATATGTGTACATATCTTAAGGAGATAAACCCCTAAATCACACTAAACTGTTTATCACCCCTCAATTTAAGTATAACCCACACTCCAATGGAAAAATGCAACAGAGTCAAAGAAGTATAAGTTTCAATAAACAATCATTGTAACATGCAGCCTTTGTTGAAGACAGAGAGTAAGTACAAGTTCACAACCTTTCACATTCTGTTTATAAGGGCACCAACTAACTAAATGCAGAATACCAGCACAAAGTCTTTGAAAAATATACCTGAATTATGGTATATTCTTTTATCGTTATGGAAAGGAGGAATTTATTATCGCTGCACCTGATCACAAACGTCTCTTGTTGGACAAAATTGGCTCCAACATTAAGAGTTATAAATCCTGTATACTTACACTATGTGATAAATGTTATAAATCTCTTTCCAAACTTCTACAACTTCACAGAACTGAAATTACTGTATTAAAAGAAATACAGAACACGGGTAGTAGCACTACAATTCACAAGTCCTGTTAGTTCAGTGATGATTTTGAAGTAGGGAAAATAAAAATTAAAAGAGAAGTCTAAGGATCCTCACCTATGGGATTCTGTGGGGCATTTCATTAGTTTAATTTAATCTCTTGATTTTTTTATATTTAAAATTGATTTATAAAATGAGGAATGGCATCAGCCAGTTGATGAATGTTTCCAATACTATTGCACAAAAGTTAGTAACCTGACTTACATTTATTGCATAAGTCAAACTACAACAGGTATCTCTTCTAACTGAAAATGCTTAATCAAATTTCAAACATGTGATGTATGTATTTGACATTTAAGCATATCTGAAAGACTGTAGTTTGAAATCCTTAGTTTTAAGTTCTCCAAATGAATGTTCATTCCATATTGCTATTCAAAGGTTTCTCAACCACAACTAATATAGTTTGTTTTTTATAATGTTCTCATCCTAGTTTTAAGGATCCTCCCCAGTGAGAGTCTAGGAGGCATTTCATTATTTTAATTTCTTGATTTTTTTTAAATTTAAAATTGATTTAGAAAGAGTTGATAAATATCTAATTTTCTGATGAATTGATCAAGTCTTTCAGTCAACCATGAATTCTAAACATTCCTATTTCCTTACATTTTTAATGCCTTTTCAATAACTTTCATATCAAAATCACAATAAATGGTGTGCCATGCCATTTTACCAACGTCATTAAACCCTCAAGTAACACATTTCATTGGTGTTATCCTGAACAAGATATTGGTAACAACCAATAAGAACCATTATGTTATAGGTGTACACATTTCAGACAGTCAGTCTGTGAATTTTTACTATAAAACTAAAAAAGTCAATTCACTGTTAATGGGGGAGGATCTATCTAAATGTTTAGTTTTCCCTCATTATCATGTCACTTTCTATCTGTTGTTTCAGAAAAAATAATTTAAGTTATGAAAAAAAATTCCTTATGGATCATTATATCTGATTTCTACTTTTATTTCAGTAATTTCAGATCTAAACACTGACATCTCAGGTGTTCATCATTTCCATTTCAAATTATTTTTGAGCTTGAAATTAATATCAAAGCACATTGAACTTCTATATTTTAAGGTAATGTAAACATAATATGATATAACCCTAGCCATTACACAGAAGCTCAGATGAACATGGTAAACACATAGCACAGATATCTTTTAAATATTTGTTGTTTTTAAAATCATAATAAATAATCAATTAAAAACAATGTTTTATATTTACACAATAAAAACTTTATTGAAGACGTACGGTTTCCACTTTAAAATATCTCTCTACAAGTACATGTTTCGACGTGATCTACATCATCCTCAGGAGTAACTTACAAAACTGTTTTATACTTTCCCCCATGTTGCATTACTTCATTGTTATTTACATATTTCCTTTAATATAAAAAAAAAATTATATCTCACCATATATCAATGTACTGAATTGCT